TGCACAGCTGCCTCCCAAACAGATCAAGCCAACTGACTGTCTCACCCGTTCAGGTGGCCTGATCCAGTTGGGGGCCCCTCAGCCTTTGGTTCATAGATCCTGTGCTTCCATTCATTTGGTTATTTATCCCGGTGCTTTATCCAACCTTGGCTTCAACAATTCTCGCTCATATAAATCCTCTTCATACTCACAAATTTTTTCACTCAGTATATCATTGTAAATGCATTAGCTAGCTTTTTCATTAATTAGCAATGATTTAATAACAGGAATTAAACAACAGTTCTTTGAGATCCTTGTACAGAAAAATAGAACAAAGTGGAGAGGGGTAGGTGAAGTGCATTTTCATCCTGACATTAAGAATTTCAAAATTTCAAAATGAGAGCAAAGCTGAACATTATTTTTTTTTTACTGGAAGAGTTTTCTCAAATGTAAACAATTATGCTTCTGGTTAGAATGTGTATCATTATTTAAACGAAATTTTTTAGTACTATAAGCAAACAAAACGAAACTAAATAATGTTGTACATGAAAAACTACACCAGTCCTGAGTGAATAGGAATGCTGTTTGGATCTTATGTTATGTTCTCTTCCCATCATCTCGTTGTCTGCTCATTCTATCTCCTTCACTTTGTTTGCTTATATTGGTAAGGTAGGCAGCATCACTTCCCCCTGTTCCATAGATGAGAACCTGATGCTCAAAGAGCATGACAGAAAGGTCATGATCATATAGGCAGACATAAGAATTTAGAGTCCAAGGCCTTATTTGCTACCTAGGCTTTCATCACCCAGAAAAACAAAACAAAACAAAACAAAACAAAACTCCAGCTCAGAGTCTCCCATACATTTCTAAATTATAATCATTATCCTGGAATGGCTCACAGTTTATGCCCAGACCTCTACCCTTATACATCCCTCATTTTCACCCAGCATATCATCATAAAGGCTCTAGTTAATTTTTTCTTTAATTAGCAATGATTTAATTTAATCTATCACGTCATGGCTCAGGAATTAAACAACAGATCTTTAAGATCCTTGCACAGACAGGGAGAACAAACTGGACAGGGGTGGGTGATATGAACAGCAATGACCTGACACTTAAATAATTATTGAAGTTTAGGACTGCTGCCCAACTTAGTACTTCTGTCTCTTAGCATGCCACCACAGGATTTGACTTGGAGAGAGGCTCAAGTTAATAACATGGGGGTTTCTTTTTAAGGAAGATATGTCAGTGTTAAAGAATTGTCAAATTTCATAAAAGTGATGTTGCCTATCTTGGTGCTGAGACTGATCCCCTAACATCTGTTCAGCTCCCTGAACATTATTACTAATTGTGGTATTGACAAATTCCTTTCTATATATGGCCGAATTACTTCTGGAAATTTCATAACCACTGGATGGAGCTTCACAGATGTCTCATGGTCATAGAGAGTTGATCACAATCAGGTTGGAAGCTCAATGCAGGAAATGACAGAGAAGAGCCAAAATCTTAAATTATAGATTTGAATTGTTGCCTGTATACTATGAAGCATAAACCTAGGGGGTGATTCTATGAAGAATATAGTTCTGAGGGGACTGAAGGTCACCAGATTCATTTATGTACAAATCATGGGATTCCACTGCATCTTCATCCAAGCATTCCTTGTAGTAGTAGAAAAAAATATGTTCAGATCCATTTTGAAATGTTGTATTTTTAGTATAAGTGTGATTTAGAAACTCATGAACCATGCAAGAAGGAAAAGACTAGATGAGGGTGGGAGGATGTCATACAGAAGAAAACTCATAGGCATGAGGAGCAGGTAAGAATCCTTCAGCTGAATTGAAAAGAAAACACCTAATTTCAGAAGGCTTGAGTCCACAGGGAACTTTTATCTCTCATCCTGGACAACCAAGGTGGAGACAGAGTCCAGGAAGGGAACTCCTGATTATCAAATCCAGCATTCTCATTTTTTTACTATTGTATTCTTGTTCCTTCAGCTGCAGATTAGTAGCAAAATGGTTGTCGCAGATCCAGAAATCAGATGAACAAGACTCAGATACAAAAGGAGGCTCTAAAAGTAAATTCTGGACCTTCTTAAATTTGAATAAAATCCTTTTGACCTCAGTAGCAATCCCTTCTCATGTCATATTGTTTAGATTCAGATCATATACCTAATCTCTTAGTCACTTTTAGAAGTTTACATGATAGTTACTGTCAACAATCAGAGAAGTGCATAAGGACTCCAACATCAGTATCACAATTAACTATGCTTTTTTTTTTTTGAGACAAGGCCTCACTATATATCTCTGACTGTCCTGGAACTCATTATTTGGTACAGGCTGGCTGTGAACTCCTAGAAATCTGTTTGTGCCTGCCTCCTGAGTTCTGGAATAGAAGCTATGTGCCACTTCATATGGCACAAATAACTATTTGTGAAATTGAACATATTACTTAGGTGACAACAATTTTTATATTACAGTTTACACTGTTTTTAGTAACATTTGTTTTTCTATAGTATGTAAACAATAAATACATAGACTTTTAAGAGAAATAACTCTATATATCTGTACACACTCTCCCACTTCAATGCATACACACAAACATCTAGAGAATAAGGGATAGTGAAGTAGGTCAACACTCCTATACTGAAAGAAAGCATAAGGAATCATCAACACTGGATAACTTTGAAAAAAGGAAGCAGATTAAGAGAGTGAGGATAGTAGTAAGCTTTTACTATTTTATTTTTCAATTTGCATCACTTGAATATATATGATTTTTACTGTCAAGGGAGTTTATGTGACAACAGTATGGTTAATTTTTCATTCCTCCCCCATGCGCTGCATTTTATTTATTTATTTTCATTTTAAAAATTTATTTATTAAATTTAATTTTACATATCAGCCACGGATTCCCTTGTTCTTCCCCCTCCCACTCCTCCCCTTCCCCCCCCCTTTCATCCCCTCCTCC